AAAGTGTATGACCGTCATCTTCATGACCTCAAATTGACATCTGTACACAGAGAAAGAGAAAGCCAGATGTGTTTTGTATTCATACCATCTGTGTGTAGTTGGCACATTGTGTGCTTAGTAGATGATGGCTTGTGTTTACTGTTTGATACGAAAACACCATTTTTACAAAGGTGTGAAGAGTTAATCTAGCTGTGTTCGCTTTTGCAAGAGAACTGCAATGTTTTGATCATTGGGTGAAAGGTTTTCTTATTTGTGTGTAGAGTTTTGCAAAAATAGCCAATAGTTACAAAAAATGTGCTTAAGCAATCAGAAAAAACTGTAATATACTTTTTCTCAAGTTGAAGTCGATCGTGCTTCATATGTACGGAACCAAGTGGTAAAAAATATGGTGAGAAATAAACAGGACTGAGGCTTCTGGAACACAAGAAGTGGAGTGGTGTTGTTACCGAGACTGACAACAGAAAGGTTTCTCCACCACAAGGGTCCAAGAGCCGCTCCCTCCCTGATGGTCTCCCTCTGGATCAAACCACTAAAATTATTTATAATCAACTGCCTCAAACTCAGCAGTTAAACAGAAGGCACATTTTTACTATAAAAACAGATCCACAAATATATAATTTACAGGTTTATAGGTTCAAATAAATATTAAAGCAGTATGGTACAGCACAACTGATAAATTTAATTCTTTGTTTTGCAATCTGACACCTGATTATTCAAGATAAATTCTGATTAAAAGCATAGCAATAGCTTTTCCAAGTTTCCCCTTTAGGGTTTCACTTAAAGTATTACTGGTAAGCACCTTTGGTAGCTTTTCTTCCCTCCTCTGTATGTTTATTAGGGATACAGATCACTCTAGACTGGACCAGACAAGATCAGATATAGAAAGAATGACCGATTTCAATTCAGCTCAATTCAATTCCAGAATACTCGATTAATTAAATATTGTTTTTTTTTTTTTTAACCAGTTGTTGTAGGTGTAGATAGCTGTAGGCAGGAAGGATCTTCTGTTGTGGGATGATGATAGCCTCCCCCCCCAGTTTGTTTTTCTCTTACAAGTTATATTTAATGTTAAAATTGACTAGGGTGTTACTCTTTCAATTTTTTAAAGATTAAAATAGAATTTGAATAGAAGAACAGGCAATGCAGGCCCTACACTCTGTCCAGAAGGGGGCACTCTCTCCTCTAGGAAAGGCATGCACTCTTTCTTTTGTTCTGCATGAAAGTCTTACTAGATCATGATCTTCAGTTTTTTTTCT